CCATTTTGAACCTTGTTACTTGTTTGCACTTGTGTGAAAAGGGCTTTGTACCAGTCTAGTCTCTCTAGGGCCAAATTTATTGTATTGATGCAAACGTTTTGATTACACCGCATTTGACACAAACTCAACATGTGAAGATAATTCGTAAATGATTCTACAAGACATTCGGTGAACGAGAACATGCATGTAAAAAAGAAAACACTGAGAGATTTGTTGAGGAAGGCTATATTATGTGTTAAAATGATTAGTCAACATTGACAACAATATTTATCAGCAATTGTTGTTGACCTAATATAAAACTATGCATGAAGTGAAAGTGAAAGTCTCTCTTTGTGTTTTTTTTGTGTGAGCTATTTAATATATCCACATAGTTGTCCAAATTAATGTCCTGTGAGTGTTTTATGATGGAAGCGCCCATACAGGAGGATCTAGCAAGGCTCAATGATGTTTCTGCCATACAATGATAAATAAACCTTTATATGAGCTTCAGACGTGCTCTGGCGGAGCTGTTTACTCTTCCGATCAGCGATTTCCCAATAATATCCAGCTGCAAACTCAACCGGCATCAGATTGACGTGTTTCACCAGATTTAGGGTGTTTTACTGTGTTTTAGATTTGTCTGTATATTTTTGAATAGTAGTTATTTAATAGTAGATATTCAGTCAGTCTAGTTTAAAGCAGAAGCTGGTCTTTTGCAATCTCCCTGTTAACCTGTGTTTATATACACATACACACAGTTGAAGTCAGAATCATTAGCCCCCCTGAATTATTAGCACCCTGTTTATTATTTTCCACAATTTCTGTTTAACGGAGAGAAGATTCCAACACATTTCTAAACATAATAGTTTTAATAACACATGTTGATGGTTTGTTCTGTAGACTTTCGAAGAAAAAAAAATAGCTTAAAGGGGCCAATAATATTGTCCTTTAAAAGATTTAAAAAATAACAAATAAAAAACAAATAAGACTTTCTCGAGAAGAAAAAATATTATTCGACTTACTGTGAAAATTTCGTTGCTCTGTTAAACATAATTTAGGAAATATAAAAAAAAAAAGAGAAAAAAATTCAAAAGGGGTCTAATGATTCTGACTTCAACTGTACATACATACATACATACATACATACATACATACATACATACATACATACATACATACATACATACATACATACATACATACATACATACATATATATATATTTTTATATATAGTTTTAGTTTTAAATATAAATTAAAAAATATAAATATACATTCAAATAAATTACATTTAAATAAAATTATTATATATTTTTAATCAAATGCTGATAATAGAAAATAATAGAAGGCACAACAAATGTATAATATATTAATAAAGGTTTAAATGAGCATTTCATACAAACATTTTGGAAAAAATGTCAAGTTGGGTGGGCCTTCAAAAATGGATCGGAGAAAGAAGTGGGCCCCGAAGTGAAAAAGGTAGATAACATTACATCTAGATTTTCCAACAGGTTGACTGTTTTTACCATTTAAACCACTTTACCTCTCCAACCAGCCAGAATCATGCACAAGTTTGCAAAGTTCTGCACTTTAAATGTCTACCAGAGATAGTAATTAGTTCCTGATTTGTAGAACTGAGGCCTGTACCGTTAAGGCCAGATTCAGTTTAGTTTTAGTTTCAGTTTAGTTTACAGCAATTCTGGGTTTTAGGTACCTTCGGGGCAGGTTAAGTTCTTGATTACCCATTAATATTCCACTACTATTCCACCCTCAACTGTAAGCAAATCAACATCTCTGACATGCTGTAATAAAAACACACTCTCAGTTTTTCTTGCTCCAAATGAAAGGTTACTAAATCGTTCCTGACGATTGAGCCTTACAACTGATGTTTGCGTTTGCTATATGTATATTAATTGCTGATTCAAAATCACCTTGTGGATATTTAGAATTAAGAATCTCATTTCAGAGAAGTGAATGGAAGACATTTTCAAATGAAACACGTTTTCAAAGGAGAATAAGTGACTTAAGCATTGTTTTTTTTTAGATAAACAAGTATGTTTATTTAGCATGTTTCCTGAATATCTGCATATTATGGTATTTTCATGCTTTAAAAGAGTCAAAAAGTTACATATACCTGTAGCACCTTTAATTATATATAACCGTACAGATATGAAGCTGCAAATTTAAGCTTTATATTTAAATTAGGAGATAAAGCTTTTAAAAAAAAGGTTCTTTGTCTCTGTAAGACTTTCATTATACAGTACCTATACCGGTACATATTATTAACAAGACAAACTAGTTTTAATTTATTCAATTCATTGGTGTTTTCTTGCTGCTAGCTGTTTTTTTTTTTTTTTTTTACTTTTTCCTCTTTCATAGACAATTAAATTATTTTGATGTTTAAATGTTTTAAACTCTACATTCTTTTCTTAACTTTTAAGCTCTGGATGTAAATTATGCTGACTTTTTTGCAAGACTTAAGTTCCTTTGATTCAAGGTGTGTGATTGGCTTTTTGCTACTGATGTCCCATCTTCATGTGCACACTCATCAAGGCCTCATCAAAGCCTCTCTATCAGAGAGTTGATGATCGGCGTCATGGTACCTACAATGCCTGACTGTGCTGGTGTAGTTTTGCCAACTCAAAACTAATGCTGTAATCCTACATTTGTTCAACCACCATCATGGCACAGGTCAGAGTAGTCATCAGGTAACATCAGGAATAACTCTGTGATGCTCATGTCAACAAACTATGATTTGGGACAAATTAGTTCTATTTTCTAATATTATTTATGGCTAGCAAGTAATTTATGATGTAACATAGCAAAATGGTAAAGCGTGGGGACTTCACAAAAATAAATTACAAACAAAAACTGCTATTATGTGTTGTTTTTTGTTCTTCGCTTTGGAATTAAAAAAAGGAAGTTCAGTATACACAAGCAGACATTTATGCTTGGTGAAAATCCAAATGTCATCTGTGCTGCAGAGAGCAATGTTTAGATTAATATGTAAATATATGCAACACTATATCCTTTCGCTAACAAAACAATTACATAACAATAACGACAGCGTTGAGAAAAGTGTCTGATAGCAGTGATATGCGCACATTAATGCAAGATATATATCATTCTATACAATAGACTGCTCTGAAGCAAGCAGATTTACAATACTACGCATTAAGTCAGAGTTAACTTAGCTCATTCAATGAATATTGGATGAACTCAATTTAATTGAGGGCAGGATATCCATCCTATAAATTTGTTTAGCACCAACTTAAAAACAACTATTTATACAATTGAATGCAATTGTGTTGGTCCAACTGAATTTTATCAAATAAAAGTTTAAACAAATTTGTAGTTTTTTTAGCCTAAACTCAAGGGTCTGATAATGTTATGTATGTCTGGTATGTGTCGCACATTTTGAGGTCTCTTAGTTTTATTTGAAATTATCCTAAATTAACTAAAAGAGCCATTTTAAGCATATTTCATGAGTTGTACGTATATACAGTTGACTGAGGCTAATCTCAAATTTAAGTTTAGGACAGCTATTGCTCACTGAGCAAAGCAATAAACTGCAATTTTTTTGCTAATTAATCTACCAACACCCAAAGCATGGGTGCTTCTGCAAGGCAGTAAACTCAAAGCACTACGTGAAACTCTTCTAAATATTCAAACTAAAGTGAAGATTAAACTCTATAACAAGTCTTTCTATTAAGTCTAAACACATAAGATTACTTTTATTGTCAACATGTCCCTCTCTTAATTCAATTCCACATAAAGCATGCTGAGAACTTCAAATCCCCTAACCAGGTAGTTGGACCAACACAATTCCTTCATGTTATCCCTACACAAAATGCCTAACTTAACATAATGGTTTACAAATTTAAGTGGACTGTACATAAAACAAGGAAATTGCCCAAAGGAATTACAAGAACTGTGTATTCATTTTAAAAAGGTAGTTTGAACAAGCTGCAGTAATCTTTTTTTTTTTTTTGAGTGTGTTAGAACTACAACTTCAACATTTTCTGCAATACAGTAAAGCGGCTCTCCACTGTAATGTATTCCTTTTTTTTACTTGTGAATGCAAAAAACCTAAATCATATCATTACATTAATATAGTTTGGTTTGCACAGCTTTTTTTATTTTGCTAATTACAATACGGATTTATCTAAACAATTGTGATATTAGGCATAACGATGCATCCATTTAAAAACACTTTTTAAGAGTGAAAGAGAAACTTTCACTGTCTGTTATACAATAACACAAAGCACTAATAAGTATTGCAAAAATTATTGTAGCTCTATGATAGTAGTACAAATGTAAAAGTAGTTTAAACTGTTAAAGCTGAACAATCGTTGAAAGCAGAATGATTAATCAGTGGAATAATTAGAAATTAGTAGATTATTCCAATCATTATTTGATTACTCAATTAGTTACTGCCACCATATTGTTGAGTTATACAATCTAAGATACTTTGATGTTCTGACCTCAAAAAAAATTGCTTCAAACACAGATTAGTATCTACAAGTGTGTGTGGGTGAGCATTTTTTTTACTCATCATTAAAAACCCAAATCATCATTGCAAACTATTTTTTCATTTGACCTGAAATAAATCCACAAACAGCACAAGATAAAAACTAAATATTTCAAAATAAAGCACTTCTTTACAGAATTGTGATGACCCAAGCTCAAAAAGCAGAGTCTTGAAATGAATGGGCCAACCTTTCATGCTCATTTAAAAACCACAACGCGAAAGGAAGCGAGTTTAACTCTATGATGGTGTTTACTAAACCCAATCAGCATCTTAGACAGGATGAGACTAGTGATACATGCTAAAGTTTAACCACAAGTCTACATTTTACCTGGTTCACATAAGGATAGAAACCGTAAACCGCATGCAAGAAACAACTTTGTGTGAACGACAAATATCTTCAGTATATTCAAGATCATTGAGCGATTGATAGATCTGCAGTTTGAAATATTACTAATAGTTAATACAAATAGGAAAGTATGAGTGACTCTTACGTGGCATGATCCCCTGGTCAACCAGTTCTTCTCGAGTTCGCCTCTGCTGAAGTTTGAGTTGGAGCACTAAAAAGAAACAAGAATTCAAAGATGAAGGGCAGTAAAATGACTAACTCAACTCTGAATTAAGTTAACAAACACTTATTTTAAGACTTTGAAAAGGTTGCACCATGACAGATTGACTTTTAGATTTAAAATCAACCTTATTTTTTGCACAACTACAACAAGAAATAAATACACACAAAATAAATAACATATAAACAAGATAAGAGTGCCAGCGAGAAGCAAACAGGCATACACGAACGTCTAAATCACCTGAAGTGCATCTGAACTTTAAAAATAAGTTACTCTGCATAATATGATTCAGTGTACCTCATTACTATTTAAAACCCTCATTATCTGCTTGTTCAGCAGCTACAAATGCAAGGAAACGCATCATGACAGAAAACACACAAGTTGATAAAGTACCCGGCGAGCAGCTCGATCCGTCTCGTTCATTCTCCCCGCAAACAAGCCCTTTCTGACAGCCGGTAGTGAGTTTATCAGTCACAGAGAAGAGAGTACAAACTACAACATGCTTCCTCTTCCTGTTTCTGCGTTCAATTAAAAAGAGAAGCAAGTGAGCGAGATGTTTCCACGGCTTACCACAGGAAGAGAGACTGTCAATTCTATGAATCGGACTTGAAGATTGTTTCAATTAAAATTTTCGATGAAAACTATAAATTGGTACGAAATGACATACGCCGACACGTCTGCTGTGTGAAAATGCAATAGAACTGCTCCTATTCTAAAGCAAACATCTGTGGAGCTTATACAGGGGTAGATGGTGACCTCAAAAATATGGTCACAACAAAAAAACAAGTGCTTGATCAAGTGATTTATTAGTAAACCACAATAAGTAAGAAGACTAGTGAGGATTATGATGATTATTTGATAAAAACACCATAGAGAATCATCATTATCTGAACTACGAATGTACTAAAAGTCAGGCGACCATTTTACGGATTAGAATATACACGCCAGTGGTAGCTCAATAAAAAATAAACAGTTGTCAAAAAAAGTGCGTCACAGTCTTTATCAGGACTATCTGAAATAAGTAAAGCATCAGAATTGTATTTCATCAGATTTCAAACAGTGATGTTCATGCATAACCAGGGCCGCTCATGTAACAAATAGATAAGTAAACACCAGCTTGGGAGGAACAGGGTTGTCTCTGTTAGATTAATAACTTGATACAAGGCTAAAACAAACCATCTTTCGTTGTGGTTTTGGTTCACGCTTCTGACAATTTGACACATTTACTCTCTGGTGTTATGCGATGGTGTACAAATAATGCACTAATGTAGATTCTATAGTTGAACTGCAAAGCGAGTTGATAAAAACATTCATCTGTAACGTCAATAACACACATTTAAACTGTTTTGTCAATAATATATGATAGATAAGATCATCAGGATGCAGGTTTATAATTCCTAAAGCCTGAAGGAATGCTAATAAAAAGTCATTCATCCCAATTGCAGTTGTCATCTTAAATCGCATCGCTGTTTGAAGTGTAAGGGGTGGTTGTCAAGAATGATGTGGAGTATATGTATGGGACTAATTTGGTTATTAAGTTTTTAAATTATGTTGTTGTCTTGACGAGTGTTGCTACTGTTTGATTGTTGTATGTATGCAGTTGTTTTCTTAAATACAGTGCTAAAGAAAAATGTCCCTTCTGCGCCAAGCAAAACGGACAATAAAATTTAAACTAAACTAGACACAAAATCGTTTTTAAATAGTACTCATTATTATTTTACATTAAACAAAAAAAAATTAAAAAAACAAATCACAATTTTACAATGTATGAGGTTATGAATTCTTTTTTTGGTGGTTTATGATATTTTGTTTGTATTGTTTATGTTATGTTGTTTATGTTAAATTAATTTAAAAATGTATTTAAATATACAGACATAAATATATAAATCACACACATGAATTTAATCAATAGCCTGTTGTCATTATTTGTTTGTAGTCATTTACTGGTACAACTGAAAGAAACTTCCGATCAATTATATCACATGTTCCTCTTGAAATCAATTTGTAAAACTTCACTTATTTGAACAGGATAGCACTGCATTATCACAGACATATTTTATCATTTATTTGACTATGTTACACAGTCTAATGTGTTTTTGAACATGATGTTGTTGATGCCTGATCCTGTCAGTGCGGTTGGATTTATTAAGCGAGCACCTTTAGCACCTGTTCACTTGCCGCTTGTGTTGTGGAAAAGAGCCAGTGCCGCACCTGTTGCGTGGCTAAATTGTGATCTGGCGTTTGGTCTCCACAACAGCTGATGGGCTGCTGAAGTCTGATCTGGCATGAGCTCACTGAAGATGATCTGGAACTGAAATTGAGATGGCTGGCAGGATGCGCGCGCACATTTCAGGATGACAACAGTGCAAGCTTACAAGCTAAACCTTAACGCTGAGAATTAATAACTTTTCCACCCACTAAAAAAGACAATTGGGGCCTATGACTCACTATAACATTTAGGAGTCTAATTCTGCTATGAAAAGATTGTGTGTGTGTGTGTGTGGTGTCAGGGTGAGCTGCTCATGCTCAAACTACAGCCAAAACACATCGTAAACATTGCTGTGGCAAAAATAGAGACTTGAATGTTGTGAACAAAGAAAGAGAAATAAAGAGATGCAGGCCCTAACTAGGCCAACATCAGCGAATTGCCATTTCCATAAATAACATTCTGCTAAATAATCCATTAAATCACTCGTTTACTTATAATTCAACACCATTTCCAGCAGTTACCACAATGTTAAGATGTCAACCAACATTAAACAGCGCAGAAATTCTTATTCATTCACATTCAAAATATATAAATATGAGCCTAAATATATATTAATATAAGAAAAGTAAATGCAAGCAATATAGTATATTGGAATGTTTTCATGCATTTCATGAATGCATGTCACAAAGTTAAATCAGTCTATCAAATATTTGTAGCTAAAATATTAATACATCCATAAGTATATACAATCCCACTCTCCAGCAACTTTATTACAGTAAGTACACCATGTTCAACTTCTTGTCAACACACATATCTAATCAGCACACCAGTACTTAGTACTTTTAGACATCAATGTGGTTCAGCCTGAACATCAGAATGGAGAAGGATATTTAAAGGGTCACCCAAAAATTTAAATATGTTGTTCATTTATTCACCCTCAGGTTATTTTGTTGTTGTTGTTGTTCTCCAGGAAATGAAAATCATCAGATTAAACCATCAACTTTAGTGATTCATCACCATGAGAGTCGAAAAAAAGCATATCAGGGAAAAGAAAATGAATCCCTGTGGCTCCCAACAATACACTAATGTCTTATGAACCAAAGACTTTGATCTGCACAATAAGCTGAACTTTATATAAAACATTTTTACCTCTCATCCACAGCCTAAGCGAACCACAAAATCTGATTCTTTTCTGCAAATGGGATTGTTTCTGATTTAAATAACTGATTCAGACACAATCATAAAATTATTTAATTCAATTCATGTTTATTTCTATAGCGCTTTTACAAATGTGAATTGTGCCAAAGGAGCTTCACATAGAAGATTACAGTAAATTGAAATTGTGTCAGTCCCGGTTTCAGAGTTGAAGTTCACAAAGTTGACATTTTCCTTATAGTGTACTTCAAATCACTAAAGACCTTTGATACAACTCACTACGCAGTCTTTCCTCTCTATCTTCATCCAGAGAAGGCACCACATATTGATATTTAAATACACACACAGTCAAAACAACACACATCAACATCTATAAATCAAAAATCAAACAAAACAAACCCCTGTAAAAGCACTGTTTTGCCTGCAAATCTAATGTTCTTAGTACACATCAATTAAACTAAGCTCATAACACAAAACTTAAGGCACTTCTCTGTCATATTTCCTCATGGCTTGTTCTGTTTCTATTTGTGTCCTCACAGTCATACTGTACCTGACACTTAATCTGTGTGGCAGCTTGCTGAGCTGCTGCTGAGTTATTGAGGATATCACTGTAAATTACGCCTCACGTCTGTAATTGCGACCTGCAGGACACCTAAATGTGCTGGTAAAGCATGTGTGTGAGTGAGTGTGTGTATGAACTTCACCTGGATGGAGAAAAATGTCATCGCTCTGCTTTTCTCATCACCCTGGCATGCCAAGCACAGCATGCACCATCACACAAACATTTGCTAACTACTCAACGTATCAAGCCAGCTGTTTACAGGTCTCATTAATAAAATACTCAAAAACAGCACATCACAGCTCACATCTGATCTAGTTAAATCTGATTGCTAAACCACAGGCGTTTTAGAAAATCTTATAAGAGTTTATGTATTTTCCCCCTAAGACCAATATTCCAAGTGTTTGAGAAAATATGAGAGCTTAAAGACGCCTTTCATGTGGAGAATGAAGTCACATGCATTGCTCAAGTGTAAAAATCTTGATGGCTCTGTGGGTCTCGTCTATCAAATCAGATTTTTATTTTATATTTTCTATTGAGTTCAAGACAGGTGATTGGCTGGGCCATTCTACAGCTTTATTTTCTTTCCCTGAAAGCATTTGAGTTTTTCCTTGGCTGTGTTTTGGATCATTGCCTTGCTGAAATGTCTACTCTGGATTTATCTTCATCATCCTGATATTGTAGATGTTGGACTGAAGCAGCGAACAATAATTTACAATGACGAAGGACCGAGAGTTGCGGAATAACTACTGAGAGATTTCATTTGCTGGGCTTTCACTGCCTTTCCACACCTCCCTTTCTTCAAGTGTTCAATACTTTTTCCCCTTTGTCATTTCAATTTTCTTTGCATATATGAATTTATTTGGTTTTTATCAACATCTGGTGAAAATTTCAAGTCAACAGCACAAACAGAAATATGTTTTCTGAGAAAATTAGTGACGTGTTCAATACTTATTTCCCCCACTGTAGGTGCATTTATACAGTACAACTAGTGCCGCAGTTAACTCCGACTACCCCTGAAAAAGCACATAAGTGCAGTTTTGATAGCTCAAGATCAATACAGCATGA